CGAAACCAAGACAATCCTTCACGGCCAGCCTCTCCAAGCTTTTGCACCCGTTGACTATCACCCCCAGCTCTGTCTTGGTTAAGTAGGACTTGCTCAGGTCCAAGCACTTGAGCTCCGGAAGGCAGTTGACCATGACGCACGCGTCCTCCGGCGTGATCAATCCCGACACCCGCAGCCGCGTGAACCGCCTGCAGTCGTGGCCTATTCTGGCGACCAACGCCAGGAAGGAAGAAGGCTTCGATTCCAGCTCGAGCTCCTCGAGGCTTCTCCACCCGCCGACGAGTTCGGGGATCCGGAGTTCGTCTTCGAGCATCAGGCGATCCGGCAAGGCCAGCCTCTTCAGTCCGGGGCACCTGCTACGTGACGCCATTAGAGTCTAGGGTTCGGCAGAAACCCGCCACGGAGAAGATCGCATGCAGCACTACTCACTTCACGGAAGCGTACACCAAGTCTCGCCACGACACACTGGATGACGACGGGAATACGAGCTCCGTCACGGATCCACGAGCGCGGTCGACGACGAACTCCATGAGAGGGGAGAAGGAGAAGCTGCGAAGGGAGTAGCGGGAGACGAACCCCTTGCAGAACCTGCTCCACGGCATGAGGTCCAGCGTCCGGAAGTCGACGACTCGCCAGCATCCGGGGTCGAGGGAAGCCTGCGCCCAGGACTTGCAGACGAAGGGAACGGAGATGGTGAGGTCGTCGAGGCCCAGCCGCAGGAAGATGGAAACCAAACAGTCCGTCGGCATCTCCTCCCATCTCCTTCCTTCCTCCATGGCGAGGGCTCGTCCTTTGGGGTCGATGGACACGGTGGTTATTATGATTGACCTGAACTCAAAACGTTAGTCGATGACAAACCGACGAAGACCGTGCAGTAGGAAAAGTATTACTCTGGAATTCTATTGTGACACGAAAGGTGGAAGTTGTTTGCTGGACAACTCTGGGCCGCCATGTGTCCGACACGACTAAGGAAGTCCTTCGAGCACGTGGCGAACCGGATGAAGTCTTATTTCACGACGTGGCGCCACCAACCGAGACCAGCTTTACTTGCGCTGTTGGTGTAGCGAGTCGGATACGCTATCGAGACCTTTCACCTTAAGTCGAAGCCGTCAAGGACTATAAACTTGCATTCTTCGTCAAGCACAGCTTCACCAATTAAGGAAGGAATACTGATCTAGCACAAAAGAAATAGATTTACGGTAGCAGCCAAAACAAGAGGCAATTTGTTAGTGTAAATAACTTTAAGTCATGGTCTTGGGACCGATACGGCTCGGTTCATGTCTGGATGATGGGGGATCTCCTTGGAACGCTCATCGAGACTGCTGAGGTGGTCGATTACGGGATCCCGATTGGGACGGGGTCGCTACTCTCTCCGGGCAAGGACTCCTCGCCTGTGCGTTTAGTGGGTGACCTCCGGCTTCGCACCTGCACAAAGGTTGAGTCGGGGAGCTCGGCCCGACCCCTCTGACGATCAAGTTAGTGGATAGTCACAGGGGGTTTTTTAGCTAAGTTGTATCTGCTTGTATGCCTCCCTTTTCTTTCTTTTCCTCCTCCCTTCTCTCCTCGGTGCGCGAGGGTTTTTGTAGTGAGAATTATCATTGCATGATGTGCCTGCCCGTAGGGAGTAGGATCGTACTTCTGGTAGCGTCTGACATTGCTGTTGGCGTGGCATGGGGGATCGAGCCTGAGCAGGGTGTTAATGTGCCTTGGTAGGCATTCCAGTCCGCTTTGACCGGGTGCCTCATCAGGTCAACAGGGGCGTGAGGCGTCATCTGGGGCAGTTGATGTCACGCGAGTCTTATCGCAATTATTACTCTCATCATATTCCCCCCCGAAGGAAGCTATGCGTCGGTTGCTGGGATGGGGGTCTGAGGCATGGGTTCGGCTTTGAGAAACTGTCTCTGCCGGGTGTCTGTCGGTCCGCTGCCAAGGGTGTGGGAATCGTGGAGTTTAGTAACTAAGAAGGGTTGGATGTGCAGCGGTGACCCTGGGTAGTGTGCGGCCGAGGAGCACAGCTCAGTCGAGCAAGCCGAGCAGAGACTATGGTCTCGGGCAGCATGGAGCTGAGGAGCACGACTCAGGCGGGAAGGTCGCGTAGAGGTTGTGGTCTCGGGCAGCATGGAGCCGAGGAGCACGACTCAAGCGGGCAGGCCGCGCAGAGGTTGTGGTCTCGGGTAGCATGGAGCCGAGGAGCACAACTTAAGCGGGCAGGCCGCGCAGAGGTTGTGGTCTCGGGTAGCATGGAGCCGAGGAGCACGACTCAAGCAGGCAGGCCGCGCAGAGGTTGTAGTCTCGGGCAGCATGGAGCCGATGAGCAACTTGGTCTTAATCAGCAATTCATTGCTTAGTGGTGCGTGGGCGCAGGAGGCCAGGTCACTTCCTAGGGAAGCCCAGGGGACCGTCACTTTTGGGAGTCGTTGGTTTTCGAGACTGATAAGACCAGCGCTTCAGCATTCGCACCGCATGTCAGTTGGTTGCTACGTCAGGCCATATTTATGGCGAAGTGACGTTCGGTCTGCCTAACACAATGTGCTTCAGGAGAGGAAGGGTCACCATTTTGGCGGGATTCGGCCTATAAATAGCGTGCAGTTGGCTTCCTGCATGTCTCGTTACTTGCATTCGCCCAATTGCTTCTTCGGACCTTGTTGCTTCGTCCGAATCGACTGTCCTGTTGTTCCTTCATAAGGTCGGTGAGGATGGCTTCCCCTTCTTCCTTGCCCCTACCTTCTTCTCCATCCACCTCCGGTAATGCCGGAGAGAAAATATTACCGTCGAGCCCCAACTCGTCATCCGACGAAAAAGCGGCTAGGGCTCTTGAAGCCTTAATGTGGCCACACGACCTCGACTCTATCGTGAGCGAGTCGTCACTTGGTTACCTTCGGAGCCGTTATGGTATCTCGAAGGAATTTGTGCTTACTGCCCCTGAGCCGGGGCAGCGGGCTTATGACCCTATCCCAAAGGGTTTCGCCCTGACTTTAGATGCCTTCGAGACCGAGCTACGCCTCCCATTGCATCCGGTCATCACCTCTTGCATTTTGTGGTGGCGTATTTCCCCGTCACAGATGGCACTGAACTCCTGGCGCTATCTGGTGGCGTTCTTAGGGGAGTGCCACTACGCCAACATTACCCCGACCCGATCCCTTTTCCTCTCCTGCTTCCGCCTTTCCAAGGGGTCGGGGGGTTATTATCTGTCCGCCCGAGCAGGCTTCCGGGTTAGCAGGGCTCCTTCCAGTAATAAGGGATGGAAGGGGCGTTTCTTTTTTATCTGTCGTTCGGAGGACTGGGGCTTCGGGCTCCGGTGGGCGGCGCGCGTGATTGACAACACTGCCCCGTCCCTGAACGATGAGGAGCGCAGGGACCTTCGACGGCTCAAGGAGATTCTCCCAGCCTCCCGGGTTATCCGGGAAATGACCGAGGGATGGCTTGTTGAGGCGGGTCTTAGCCCGGCGCCTCGAGGTATGCCCGCAGTGGGTAACGCTAGGGTTTTCCTAAGGATCATTTTTGGTGTTCTGACCAATGTTAGTGTTTTCGTGCAGAGATGGTGAACCTCGTCACCTTGCGCGGGGGGGGGTGGGGGGGGGGGGCGCTCTTCGTCGATCACGTCGTTGCATCAAACGGCCGAGCCCAGGGCCGGCACAAAAGAAGTGCAAGTAGAACTTGAGGCCAACAGGCCTTGGAAGAAATCGAAGATCGACGTCCAGAAGGAGGATATGCCGAGCTGGCCCGAGCAATGAGGTGGTGGGAAAGGCGCCTCGGGAACCCTCCATCCGCGACCTGTGTCGCCTCCCTGCGGGAGCGCAGGACGAGCCTTACCAAGCTCGGGTGATGGGCGGACTCCCGGAGGGCCAACCCTCCGACCCGCTGGTTGCCCGGTGGGCGAGCCTAACCCGCGGGACCCAAGTATGGGCTGACGGGGAGGCCGCGGCCCGTACCTGGTGGGCGAGCCTAACCTAGCTCTCTTGTGCTCCTCCCGCTTCCCGACCATCCAGGCCTTGGCCGCGATGAACTGGTTCGCGCATTGAAGCATCTCGGGCACTGTGATGGGGGATCGCTCCACGAGGGACTAGAAAAACTTGGAAGGACACAAGCCTATCATAAACGCCGGTCAGAGTTCGGACTTGATGGGTGAGGTCGTGAAAGGCTTCAGACGACAAGGGCGACGGGTCAGCGGGGGCACCGTCGGGCGGCGATAAGCTCGAGTCGTTGAATATCCGCCAATAGCGCTTTGAGGTCGTGGCGGGATGTTCGTCACGAAGGTATCCGTGCCGGGGATGTTCCCCCGAAGCTCCAATCGGGTGTGACCTCTCAGCCGCAGGCTCGTCTAAGCTAATCGGGTGATCCCTCGACATTCGGCCCTCCTTCTAGCACCAAAAATATTAGTGTAAACAACTTTAAGCCGTGGCCTCAGGGCCGACGCGACTCGGTTCAGGTTCGGATGATGGGGGATCTCCCTAGGATGCTCCTCGAGACTGCTGAGGTGGCCGATTACGGGGTCCCGATTGGGACGAGGTCGCTACTCCCTCCCGACAAGGACTCCTCGCCTGTGCGTTTAGTGGGTGACATCCGGCTTCGCACTTGCACAAAGGTTGGGTCGGGGAGCTCGACCCGGCCCCCCTAACGACCAAGTTAGTAGATAGTAGCAAGGGTTTTTTTAGCTAAGTTATGTCTGCTTGTGTGCCTCTTTTCTTTCTTTTCCTCCTCCCTTCTCTCCTCGATGCGCGAGGATTTTTATAGTGAGAATTACCGTTGCACGATGTGCTTATGTGCCTGCTCGCAGGGAGCAGGATCGTACTTCTAGTAGTGTTTGACATTGCCATTGGCGTGACGTGAGGGATCGAGCCTGAGCAGGGTGTTAATGTGCCTTGGTAGGCGTTCCAGTCCGCTTTGACCGGGTGTCTCATCAGGTCAACAGAGGCGTGAAGCGTCATCTGGGGCAGCTGATGTCACGCGAGTCTTATCGCAATTATTACGATCATCACAATTACAATATAAAAAATGAATGAAGAATACAAGAATTGGATCTACTCTTTATAACAAAATCCAGGAGTGTAGCTTAATCCCAGAGAACAAATTTGAGAAGAAGATTTATTAGAAGGGAAATTAATATACTGCAGCAATATGCCGATGCAAAGTGGGGCATGGATGCTGCGCTTGTGTTGTTGTTGAAGAGCCTTCCATCGACAAGATAAGTTAGGATGGGAAAGTTACAGTGATTAACCTGAATAAGAAGCATCTGTGAGAATACAGCACTTCAACCTAAATTATCCAAAAGAGTAGAGATAAAACATACTTTTTAAGAGATTGGGAACTCTGCTCTCAAAGCATCGAGGATGTTAATAGTTCAAAAAGCTTCTACTCTGTATGCGATCAACCATGATTCCAAGGCAGTAACCGGCGAGGCCAGGCTAGGGTTGGTGCTGAAAAGCAATGGAAGATGCACACATGTAAAGAACTCACAAGCTCGGTGTTAAGCTTAATCTAAGATGCAGATTCAGAATCTAACATCGCTGATTTTGGACGGTGGAATGGAAGCAGATGCAGCTGGTTTCATAAATTGGTCAGATAATTGTTTTTGAGTCCACTTCTACAACGGGTGTCCTCACCTGAGAGGTATTCAAGTCCGTGTCCATGGCAGAAGTTCTGGTTGGCGATGCTGGCTGCACCTCCACATCGGGATAAGCAGCCTTGAATCTAGCCCTAAGGCCTTCATCCACTAGCTGCACCCCGTTCAATTGATTGCCAAGTGATAGCCACCTGGTTATATAGCAAACCAACAATTATAACAAGCCCACCAAATAGAACAAACTACTTTCTTTACCTAAAGCAGGATGACTTAGAAATAGAAATACAGACAATAAGGATGATTTCTGAACTCCAATAATAAGATAGTGTGCAAGGAATGTATAATGACTAATAACAAGACGAAGGAAAATGTGAATGGAATGCAACTCATAAATGGAAATAATACATTAGAATGAACATCATATTACTCCATAAGTTTTACAAGGAAATCCGAGAAAATGGCATCCAGAAATTACTAGATCTTCACATGCATTTACATGATATGACTGTCACGATCACGATCAAACCTGTTTTCACAGGTGCAGTTTAAGCACAAACATAGAAGCAAACACCAACAGATATGCAAACAAAGAAGAAAAAACAGATACAATGCAAACAAAGTGAAAAAATGTACACATGTATAAAAGATGCAGTGAGTAAAAGCCAAGTAAATATGATCAACACAAGATGGGAATACCCTGCATGTGTATTGTGTATACGAGCAAACAGTTCCAACTTTCTCGTCCTCGGGCTGATTCTCTCCAGCATTGGGTACATCTGCAGTCAAGTATGTACATTAGAAATATAGCAAGGAATATGCATTCTCGAAAGAAGTTCAGATTCAAGACAGTAAATTTTCAAATTAAATCCATTCATATTTACAAAATTATGTAATAAAGTAATGCTGGTGAGAATCAACAAGAGTGATAATGGAGTATTCTCCAATTATGTCCTCACACCTACTATGCACGATAATAAAAATTGTATAGTGATACACATTGTCTATATTCATTTTTTTATAGAAAGCAGATGCAAAATATAAAATCTATTACCTCATCAGGTTTTCGGCTTGTTTCCCGAACTTCAGCGACAATAACATCAGTATCAATGTTCCTGTTTACCTCAGGATTCCCCTTTATTCCAACAAGGCAATGCTCTTTACTATGATTGAGCCAGTGACCTGTGCGTCCTGTTCTTATAATCCGTTGAAGCTGATTGGTCTTTACCCAAATGATTTCCTCAACACGCTGGTATCCCCAAAGCTCTAAACTGGTAATAACATTAAAACCATACATTGTGCTAACTTAAGATCCTCCTACCATCAGGACAAGTTTTCAGAAAACACACTTAGTGTTTTGCTCTCATTTGCAGCACAGCCTAAACAAACTTATACTGTGCTTATACATTCTTTAATTGCATTTTTAGCAAAACTCTTCACAGAAGAAAAGCAATAACAAGGAAGAATCATACAAAACAAATAACTTGATATTAATAAACCTGACTTCAATATTGTTCAATCTAAAAGAATAATCACAAGAGCAAAAACAACTAACTATTTTCCCATTGATCCCATGGCTAATGGAAAAGTACTAAAAGCAAAAATCCACAAAGTGCTAAAGACTAAAACACTTAAACCTTATTACGAGATATGAAGTAGCCTCTTTTTGGATAAGCAGATATGATCAATGAGTATTTAACAAGAAGCTCCTACTGGGCACTTAGATTTCTTTAGATCAAAAACAAGGGTCAAGGGAGGTAATCCAGTAGTCAAGCTCAATAACCTTTACCTCTATTATGTTACTTGTTTGGTTTGATAATAGAAAATATCTTCAACTAGAAAACTAGTAGTATAAACAAAGGGAATATGTTAATCAACCATCTTGTTCAAATAGGTATTCCACTGGTTGCATTCTTTCCCTAATAAGTGCATCCTTTTGACCAGTCAGTATAAACCCTATTAGATAAGGTTGTTCAATGGGAAAACTCTATCATCCAACTTGATCTGAAATGGTCCCTCAGTTTTCTTGTAATAGTATATCAAGTTTGGTTCAGGTTCTCAGATGTATATAGCCTTGAGTCATCTATCAATCATAACTTATGTCGGTTTCCATAACTATATATAATTACAGACCATGTCATGCAGCGAAACTTTAAGTTGCTTATTCTAATGTAGAGTTTTAGACACCAACTTGAAAATCCTCAGCCATCATGGCCAGAACCAAGCATAGAGGAAAAAAATGATGAGTAACAAGAATACCCAAAAATTGATTCATTTAATCACATTTGTAGATAATTTTCTCAGACAAAACCATAAGAAAATTCGATTATATCACAAAAGCAGCAACGAAAAGCAGATCAACCTAGTGGGTAGTTAAGTAACCAAGTAGATAAACTGTGCAGAGCAAAAGTGAAAAAGAAAAATGATCACTTCGGACCGAGGCTTATGCATGGCAATCAAGTGTGCTTTTCTGTCTAGAAATTCATCAGTTGTGTATGTATTCAACCATCACTTTATTAAATCACACTAACAGCAATTTCTAAGAAAAAGAAAAAAAACAAAATATAGCTCACCATTCACGACCAAGTTCCATTGCACGCCCAGTGACCCAAAGGAAAATCAGACCATCAGTTTGCAATGTTGGTACATTAAGATTTTTCATTTCCTCATCAGCCATTGTACCATATGGCAATTCCATATGAATATCCCATGGAGGGTCTGCCATAATAACCCCAAATTGTCCCAAGATATCCATTCTAAAGGTTCGAATATCACAGTTTATCCACTGGGATTGTCCAAGCTCAACTTCTGAACAATATTCAGCCCTTTGGTACTTTATTGGTCTTTGAGGTGGATTAGCCAATCCCAGAATTGGAGCATCCAGTGTTTGGTCAAGTTCATAATGAACATATTTGCAAGTCTGCAATGAAAACATTGAACAATATAAACCAGAGAATAAGAATGGGAACCAGCAAAGACAGATAGAAAGCCAAAATTTAACCTTTGTATGACGGCATGTATCCAGAAAGGAGCAGTCACCCAAATTTGTATCAGTATGTGGAGCAATAATACGGCGGAAATGAACCTGCTTGCAAATAAGTGAGATTCAAACCTTAACCAAAAAAGCTACTAAATTCAAGGGAGCAAAAAAAGAACCTCAATCTTATGAAAGATATATCAAGAAACTGAAGTCACCATTGAAATAATAAGTGAAAACATAAGGGTCATTACTTCAACAAACAAATCCTAAAGGCTCTAGATGGTTCCCAAGTAGTGTTGAATCATCAAGTCTAATAACATGTACCATAAACAATTTATTTAAAGCATCAATTTCATAAGGAGATGAAGAATCAGTACCCCACAATCAGTAATTATGGTCCTGGAGACTCTAGATGGCTTGCCAGGAATGCCGATTTGTCAACTTTTAGTGTATATACCATGAGCCAAATCAAGCTACTTATTTGAACTTTCCCCTCATAGCAACAGTCATTATCTACTAGATTCAAGGAGATGAAGACCAAAGAAAAATTGAAAGAGCAAACAAAGGGCATAAACCACTTAGAAACAAAGGAAGAAGTCTCCCTCAATGCAAATAAGTTGCAGAAAGGTAACATATATTCAACCCCAAATTCTCATGGCCGGCTGGTGCAGGCTCCTCTAAACTTTTCACTTCAAAATTCCATCTTGTTTCATAATAACATTTTGTTCATTTTTGAACTTAATTTATCCACTGCAATAGTCTACATTCATGTGACACTCGATGGGTTCCTATGGTTGCAACTTGAGCCCTCACTATGTCAACATAGCAAATATTTTACCTTCTTTGCTACCAAATGTTCTGACATGCAAAAAACATGGTTTCTTATAATTCTTTTTTCTGTTCAGAATTGTCTCGACAAATCATCCATTTGAGTATTCCATCAAGGTCCTACGATAATACACTAATAGTTCATCGAAAAGGCTAACAAGGAACATTTTCCTTTTAGTTTCCCTCAAAAAAAATAAAAAGAACATGCCGACTCCGTGTTGACCTCTAAACAAAAGAAATAAGCCTTCACAGAATTTGCAAACTAGTATGAGTTCGGGAAGATGTATAAAGGTCCATACAATCCAACAGAGAGCATACCGACTCTGATACTAGAAAAGTAACAAACAGCAAAAGAATAGCACATCAAGGAACATGCTTGCTTGCTGACTTCTAAGGTAACAGACCTTGAAAGAGCTCACAACCTAAAAGTAGAATGGAAAGATGCATAAAGGTGAGTAGTATCTAGGACAGTGCATATATCTTGCTATTTGCTTTGTTGTTTACTAGGGTTAAAGGATGCAAAGAGAGCATTATTATAAAATGGGGCTTCAGCTATCATGAAATTAGCACAGGGCCTTGTAATTGCACTTGAATTGGACAAAAGAAATCATGATTTTTATTCAGTTCTGTCATATACAAGTTGGCATTGGGTTTACTGTTTAAATCAATAACACAACTAGAAGGAAACAAAAGTAAACTTGTGAACTGGACTCTGTTCATTTGTCCACACAACAAGAAAAATAGTGAACAAGTAAATAATATGATTATAAGTTACATCAAGTAAATCTGTAAGAAAAGTTCTCAATATTTGATGAACAAATAGAGCTCATGGCATTTCAACAACATAACAAAAGTCAAGGATTAGCACCTTACACTAGTAAGATATTGACATAAAACTAACCTTATCACAAGCAACAAATGAACCAGAATGACGCCGACAGTCTTCTTTAGTTAAATGAGTACAGTATTCCTTGAGTTGAGAGCCGCCTTTCGTCTTAAACTGAGAAAAAATTGTCAAGTTTAGACAGGCAGATGAGAGGAACACCAATCGATTCTTGAACAGAATATATTCGTCATATTAACATTTAACTTAACTAATATTGGATTAAGAGGTACGTGCATCATGATGTATTGGAAGTACGTTAAAATAAAAGGTGGGTTATGTTTCAGGTGACACGTTGTACAAGTAGTTGACTGACCAAGAGAACATGGGAACCACATCAAAAAAGTAACAGAAGGAAGCAGCATAAGCTTGTCCCATCTTATAATAGAAGACTTCGATTGGATTCATGAACAAAAAGAAAAGAAAAATGAAATTGACCACATCCTTCTACTGATTCTAGTCCTTCATTCTAAAAAGTTGATTTGGAAGCAGCAGCTCATTATGCAGACATGAATGTTAAAAGCAGAGAACAGTTGCCGATAGCAGCAAACAACTACCATCTATGAAAACCATATTAAAGCAAGCATTTGTCCATTAGAATTCCAGTTTCACAAACCCTGAATGCATAAATCTATTCATGATTCAAAATCCACTTCATTTGATAGCTATAATGACCCTATAATTTATATCATATTATCTTTCTTCTATTAGGCGAGTTGATGTTTCATGGAGAATCAATAGTGATGCAAGGAGCAGGAATAAGTTTTAAGTGAATTATCCGAGCCTTTGCAGCAGCTGCGGCCTCCTTTGCTGTAGGGCGGTGAATGAGCTCCAAAAGCTCCTCTCCTGCCTTGGACAGCTGCATCTCTTTGAATGTCTTCTTATTCAACAATGCATCTAGATCATTTAGATCATCTTCCTCTGTCCCTTGCTTTAACATCGCTGGATTAGGCCCACCCGGAGTGTTGCCAGGTCCGATGAGAGGCCTCTGAAGGGGAGCAAGTCCTATCAATCCCATTGCTCTAGGTCCACCACCAGCCAGAGATGGCGGACCGCCAGACCCCGGAAAGAGATGGGGCATGCCGGCGAGATGAGCATCAGGAGGCCCCATCCACATATCCAGCGACGGACTTGCCATCATCATGGAAGTGTTATCAACTCCGGCCATATTTGGCCCCTGAGCCTGATAGTTCCCCTTGCTCGAGTTGCGTTCCGTCGAGATATGACGTAGTGGTGGCTGCTGACCCTGAGAAGAGCTCTCTGGAAGTTCTTTGAGGAGCTTGTTCCGATTGATGCTCCAAATCATCAGCACTGACTTCCCGTTCACCGTGAACTCCTCCAACTGCACTCCACCGCTCTCTTCCGCTATGCGCCGCAGCGCCATCTCGATGGCAGAAATTGGCCCGAGATCCCCGCCGAGATCGGAGAGTGCAGCCTTCTCAGACGGGGTAGCGGAAGACTGATCGTTCACCAGCCGCCGAAGCAACGCGGCGGAGTCGATCTCGGTGAAGGGAACGAACTCCAATAGGCAGACGGCGACCATGGTGCGGACGACGGAGAGAAGGTCGCCGCCAGAGGAGGCGCCGCCGTCGGCCCCGGAGGAGGGCGGAGAGGGCTTGCGGCGGGTGCGAGGGAGGGTGCAGGTATCGGGGAGGTGACGGCGGCGGGGGTTCACGGAGTGGTGATCGGAGGAGGGCTCAGTACTCGGGCTGGGGATGAGTGTGGGGGAGAAAGGGCGGCGGTTGAAGGCGGAGATAACGCGGAGGGGCACGTCGAGGGAAGAGGCGAGGTCGGGGACGAGGGAGTGGAGGGAGGCCAGAAGGTCTTGCTGCGACTGGCGGCGAGCAGCGATGGCACCCTCCATTTGGTGCCGCATCTCCGTAACGGCGGCGACGTCGTCAACTTCGCCATCGCCATCGCCATCGGTTGGCGGTTCCATGCCTGGCTTTCGAGTCGAGGCTGCGGCGGGCGTCGGCCGTCTCTCTCTCTCTCTCTCTGCCCCGATACGAACGATGAGTTCCGACTCGGTTACCTTAAAGCACGTGAGATGCGCGCGCTTTAAGCATGCATTTGGGTTCACTATAGGTGCAGCCTAACCGAAACCCTTAACATCACCTGCCGTTCGTCACCCCTCGTCGGCGATCCAACGGTGGAGATAAATTCCCAAAACGTGGGGTAAATATAGTTTGACTTTTATTTTCTGCCTCTATGCTTAAAAATGAATACATTATTCCTTCTAAATATTTTCTGCCTTCTTTTCATTGTCGATTCTTTTTTGGTATAGTGAATTAGAGGCATTTTATTTTGGTTTGGTGCATTATATATAAGCTATTGTTATTAGTATTTTCCCAAAGAATATTCCTCATTTTCTATTTTTAGCTTTTCAAAATTTTAATATTATCCCATTCTTTATTTTCTTTTTTTGTGTCATCGTTTTTTTGGTCTGATTCAATGCATCGGACCGGTGAATTAATTAAATCGAACCAAATCAATAATAAAAAGTCTATATTATTAAAAATAAAGGATGAATTTCCAAAAAAAAAAATCATTGGTTTTATGACAAATTAAACGAACCGATCGATAAATAAAATAAAATCTGTTAATAATAAATTTATGATCCAAGTTCTTATTTAAAAAATAATATTTAAGTGTATAAATATTTAAAATTAGAAAAATAGAAAATTATTATCGAAGATATAAAAATGTATTATCCATATCTTTATTTTTAAATAATATTTAAAATAACCAAAAAATAATTATGAGTACTGTTTGGTTCAGAAACTTAAGATTTAGTCAATATTTCTTAAAATCAGTGTAATTTTGTCCATATTAAGTATGTTTTGCCCAAAAAGACACTTGGAAAGTCTCAAATCATGTACATAATTCTTGAGTTTTTTCTCAAAATATATTCCAAGTACCTTCTTGTTGTAATAAATACTCTCATTATAGAATATTAACAAATTTTAGAATAAAAAACACTAAATATTTGAATTACTTACAATGTTTTTTTTAAAAAATAAATTAATAATAGAGTTTGTTATTAATATTTTTGAAAAAAAAATAAAAATAAGATTTGATCATTAACTCGAGTTAATGTGACAAAGTTGATATCTTGTTTTTCCGAATTATATCAAATCGAGACGAAGTGTTGTAATATAAGAGTCAAAGCATAAATGGTTACATGACTTGATCTACAAATAAAAAGAAAGAAATATGTATTTGAGTCAAATGTCTAAACATCTTTGTTCCTTCTCTGAATTGGATCATGCAACATATCCATTGGGTGCATCAAACAGAGAGTTAAATTAGTGTTTGTTCATCTCTAGTGAATTGACGAGTAGTTTAAGAGCTGAGTATTAGTTTATAGGATTGGATAGAATAACATCAGAGCTGTTGGTGAACAAATGTACCGTGATTGATAAGTCAACACGACTTGGTTCATGTGTCGATGTCGGAAGTCTTTTCTTGACTAAGTTGGATGACGAGGTGGCTATGCTCTCGAGAAGGGGTGCTTATCGGTGTTTGTGGGTCTTCGGGTTGGTTGGCAGCTCGCCCTTGCATGTTGGATGGCAAACCTTGGGTTGAGACGCTCGCGGCTCGTGGGTGATCGTTCACTTGCAAAAATGGCCCTCGTCGGGTGATCCTCGACTTTGGCCCCTCCGACGAGCAAGTTAGTAGTGGGTTGAATTGCTTTTTTGCCTCTCCTTTGGTCGGTTGCACACGGGTTCGGCATGGCCGCTGACCCTCGAGGGATGGGATGACACTTTTGACTGGCCGCTGTCTCGGGACGTGCGGAGCGACGTCAGACAACACCACCCCGAGCTCTCGGGACGGGACATGTTGAACAGCGTCTCAGTATGGATTCTGACTTGGTGTGTGACATCGACTATGACGTGTCTTGGGCCCTCATTAAGAGGGTTTAGAATCGCATAGAGAATTCGAAAGGAAATTATATTATATTATATAGTGTTTGTTTGTTTGTTTGTTTTGTAACATAAGTGATGATCGAGTTTAGACGTCATTTGTGATCTTTCAACCCTATGGAAAGATAACAAATGTTCATATGATGTTGTTTTAGTTATTGAGCTATTATTTTGCCTGTTTTGAGTTTAGCTTTTTGCAACAGTTGGATGAGGATTTAATGGTCATGACATTGGTTTACTAGAATAATTTGATTTACATCTTAAGTTTGATGTATTGACTTTCTAGATAATGAAAAGGTCAATTATATACATGTTATTTTTACACCATGGTTGCCAACTATTTTCTTAATGCATGCATATCATTTTATAGCTAAGTTCTTAACCAAATGTTTTTATTTTGTTTTCTCGGTTTGGAGTCCTTTTTTTTTTCCGAGTTTGTCATTGAATATTTTGATGGGATAAAAAAATTTATATAAAATTTATATACGAATAAGCATGCTATAACATGCAATGAAAAATTAAACAAAAATCACAACACTAAGATTTGTTTTCTTGATTTTCAAAAATTAACTAATCTTTGTCTATTGTGAAGTATGACAATTTAAATCTAGTAAGAAGAATGGAAAAGCATTTCGAGTAACCTCATCTTTCTAGAACAGAGGATGTGCAAATGCTTGTCCTCGGTTCACCTAGTCACCTTGAACTCTGCTCCGAGGTGATGAGCAATACTTCATCATGAAGAGATAGTCCGTCTGTGACATCATTGTCATATGCTTCTAGTAAAACTTATGCATTATGATAAAATCCTAGGGTTTTATCTAAGAAAAAAATAAAAAAAATTCATTATTTTATGATAATACTTATGATCAAATGTTTTGAATTATATTTTATTACTTAAAAAAATAAAAAAAAAGTTACATATATAGATTTATTAATTCTTAATCAATTAGGATTGAGATTTTAATAAAATAATAAATAATAATAATAATCCCTAATTTACTATATGAAAGGACTTCTACTATAATTAGAAAACTCCTATATAATTAGAAAAAACTAAATAGAAAAATAAAGATTAATATCAAATCCCAAAAATTAAGGACCCTTGAGATTAATAAATCATAATATTTCTCAACAATTTAAAACAGTCTTGTCCTCGAGACTAAGTAGCGATGAATTCTAAAAACTTCTTATTCGATGCTTTATAAAACTCTGAAGTAACATTTTCAATTAGTAAGTTGACACTTTGAACAAGCAAATCAATGATAGGATATCTTTGACGCATCACAACACAAGTATGGCTTGAGATAGGATTTGAACCTTACAACTAGAAAAATACTTGCCAAATGGTGTTGCACCACATCATCTTCACCTAACTTCTTTGAAAAATTAAATGTATCTTAGAGCTTGTTGATAAATCTAAGCGATAAGCAACTGGGCCAATACATTCCAACACCTTATAAGGCCTAAAGAAACGAGAAGATAGCTTCTTACAAGATTGAATCTTTACATAAGTTTGCTTCTAAGGCTAAAGTCAAAGGAAATCTCAATCGCCTACTACAAACTCTCACTCACTACGATGCTTATCAACTTGCTGCTTCATTCTAGTTTGAGACTACGAGATTATCTCTTAGAAGTTGAATAATCTTATCCCTATCAAGCAAATTTTTTATCCACTTGATCAACCTTAGAAGAACCATACAAATATTTATAATCATAGGAGGAGATCGATCATAAACTACTTCAAAATGAGTTATTTTAGTAGAAGAGTGATAAATAGTATGACACTACCATTTTGTCCAATGAAGTCATTTCATCCACTCTTATCATTGGTAAAGCTCATGAGATAGTTTTTCAGACATCTGTTCATCACTTCAGTTTACCCATATACTCATATTCAATTGGGTACCTTGTAGGAGAAAGAGCTCCTTTTATAAGGTGATAATAAATACTTTATCTTGATCACTAATAATGGAATACGAAATTCTATGCTTTTTTACTATATTCTTAATAAAAGTATGAGTAACAATTACAATAATATTAGAATATCAATAGTGCAAAAATAAGCATATTATGTAAAGTAATCTAATTACAAATATGACAGTTTTACATTAAGATGGTGAAAGTCAATTGATAAATCCATAGATATATTAGTCTATGCATTATCAAGAATAGGAAAATGCCAAAGCAAATGAGGGATAGTGCATATCTTACCTTAATGACATTGGAGAACATTACATTTTATAACAAACTTCTTAATAATTTTTTTCATATCCTTTCAATAAAAAATAATGTTTTTCATACCTTTTCAATAAAAAAATTGACAGATGTTTTTATATGTATAAAGAAATCTAGAATGACACAATTAGTGATGGTTGAAACTCATTCAAAATTATGTTATGACAAAAAGAATCTGATGCTAAGATAATTGTACCCTTATAGTGCAAATCAGAATATGATGCTAAGATAATTATACTCTTATAGTGCAAATTTATTATATTTTAATTATAATTAGGAATAAAAGTTGAATCTTCTTCTGGCTTTTTAATAACATTTTGAATTTCAAGATCATCCAACCATTCACTCCTAGAAATAGCCATTAGTTCAACTTGTTTTAGACGGTGAGAAAATATATCTATAACTAAATTCTCACTCCTCCTCTTATAAATAATCTCATAGCCAAAACTCAATAGCTTAATGACCTATTTTTGCTGCTCTAAGGAAGAAACCCATTGCTCAAGAAAATATTTTAGGCTTCTGTGATCAGTACATATTTGAAGTTATCAACCAATTAAGTAAGACCTCCATTAGTGATTGCTGAACAATAGTTAACATTTCCTTGTCAGATAAACTTAAATGAGATAGAAAAATTATTTTACTAGTGTAAACAATTGAACGACATTCTTGCATTAATATAGCTTCAAAACAAGCCCTTTCTTAAATTGCTTTTTTCAGAAAACTCCGTTACAAGTTTTAAACCAATCATACCATCGGATAGTATCTTTATCTAATTGGATTGAAGTTATTTTCACTTTAAAATTTTCTTGAGTTTTATGAAAGCAAAAAAATTTTCGTGACTTTAGAAATCTATTCGGTCATATCTCTATCTTTCCGTCTAAGAAAATCTATTTTCATCCGAGGATAGTTGTTATCATGCTCTTAGTAATCACTTCTTGTGACTTCAGATCGATCTAGTTGTTTGTTGGCAAAAGTTGAACTTCCATCTTATTGATTTTTGTTAAAACTCTCAAGCAAACTCTTTTTGAAATCATTGAGAGTTTTTAGTAGTCTGTTTTTGCTTTTTGCTTCTAAAACTTCAAATTGAGATTTCATAGAATTATCAGTATTCATCGCGTATGATTGTAGATATATAATTCCTAAGGTTTGTTTTCTATTTCGGGTCAAGGGCATGAGCATTGTTTGCTAGACGTTGAAAGTGAAGTCGTCGTTGGTTGCACGACCGTCAGGGCGTGTGATGATGTCAGAGAGGAGACTAAGAGAATGTCAAGAAAATATCGTAAGAACTTTGGGAACATCACTCTAATAGGATATGTCACTCTGATACCAGATGATAAAATCCTAGGGCTTTATCTAAGAAATATATATATATATATATATATATATATATAGTTATTTAATCCTTAATCAATTAATATTAAATATTCTAAAAAATAAAATAATAATAATAATTCCTAATTTATTATATGAAAGCACTCCTACCATAATTATTAAAAACTCAAAAACTTCTAACATAATTAGAAAAAATAAATAAATAAATAAAGACTAATATTAAACCTTTAAAACTAAGAACTTCCAAAATTAGGAAATCTGAGCTAAAAATTTATTTTCAGGTCTTAGATAAAGTGGGTTAGCACAAAGTCACATCCACTGAAGAAGATGAATGGACATGGATTTCGTTGGTGAACATAGTATACAGATGACTCTTGATTCATAGGTTACACAGGGATCGAATTGGAATTAGAATCTGTCACGCACGCTACTGAACATTTCTTTTTAATGACAGTGCCACGTCTTGCCATACTGTAGTTATGGAAAGACGGAGGTGAAATAAATTTATTATTACTTTACATTTTTATAATAAATTTTCATATTTATATTTAAAATATAAATTAATATTAAATATAAAAACGATAGGGTGTCAACAAAAACCAAACATCGGGTTTAGTTTGGTAAGATCGGTAATTAACGAGGTATGTAATACTGTACCATATCGGTATTTCGAGATTGGATATGGTATCGTGTACCGAGCGATACATCAGAGCGTATCGAGTGATACATCTAATTTTAAATATTTCTTTCTCTTTACTATAACATGGTAGGACGTTAGTGATCCACGTATCGGTATACCATCAGACCGATACATACCGGACGATACTATTTCAAATTATATGCCATGATAATTAGTATACATATTTAGTAAAAGATATATATATATATATAGAGAGAGAGAGAGGCGAGGGGGGATTGGGTTTTTATATGGAACAAAATTGGAGCGGATCCTACGCATTCGGCTTCGCCTTCTTCGCCAATTGCGGGTGGGGTTATCGTTTCTTCGTCAGGACAGCGACGATCTATGCGTTCCTGCTTCCATTTGGATCTCTCCACTCAGCTCAGCAGCAATCGTGGTCTCAGGGGAAGGGAGGGAGTCGATGGAGAACAATAAGGGCGATCGGAGGAGGGGACGCAGGAGGAGCTCCCGCGCAGCCGACGACATCACCGCCGTGCTCCGCAAGTGCTGGTACCGCCTCCGCCTGTCGGTGCGGGACCCATCGCGCGTCCCCACCTGGGACGCCGTCGTCCTCACCGCCGCCAGCCCCGAGCAGGCCGCGCTCTACGAGTGGCAGCTTCGCCGGGCCAAGCGATTCGGCCGCATCGCCCCCTCCACCGTCACCCTCGCCGTCCCCGACCCCGATGCTGCACGCATCGGATCCGGCGCCGCCACCCTCCACGCCATCTATGCCCTTGCCCGTCACCTTCTCCGCATCGGCCACGCGTCCCTCGAGGTAACGCCCGCCACCCTCTGTTTCTGTCTCCTCTTTTAGATGATCGTGGATGCATTTGAACGACAACATACCCGTGATTAGTGCCTCCAACTTTCTTTTTTTCCTTTGAACTTGTCAAGTCACAGAGAGGGCATGCATAATAGTAGAAACTGATTACTATCCTAATCTTAGGCCATCATGAGATTTTTGGAGTTTAGGTTCATTGGGAAATGGAAATTTTTTGTCATTAAGGCGTACTTTTTGGTGCTCGGCTGCAAATCAGGATGACTTTGTTAGAAACCTCCCAAGTCACTAGCAGGAGGGTACTTCTCCTTCCTTGATTAGCTGCCATTACCTCTCTATCAACGCTTTTGGAAGTATGAACTTCATCATCATGATCATTGTGACAAAAGTAACATTGTTAATGGCGACAGTATTCACTGTCCATCAATACTTCACTGTACCAACTTGCTTTGTGCTAACATTTTGGTTTACACCATCATTACGTCAAATCTTAAAGGTACAAAACGGAGAATAAGTTGTTATATGAAGATGACCTATTCTTGGTTTAGACAGAACTGAACTAATCGATCATGATCTTAACATTTGTGAATTTAACCTTGTGACAAGCCTAAGGGGAAATTCATAGCTAGATCTGAAAAGAGCTTTTGTCAGGTTTAATGATGTCTAGTTAGGAATAGTCTGTTAATTTTCCAGATCATGTAAAGATTTAAATCTTTAAGGTTCAATGTAGAATTTCTTAGGTGTCATTAAGTCTCACCCCATACTTAGATCAAAGCAACATTGAGAAGAGAGATATAAAGGAGAGACTACCAAGTTCAATTATATTTTAGTATGTGGTTTGATTTGGGTGGACTACCAGTTTTCATCTGAAAGATTTTTTATTAATTATGGTTAGAAAAAAGGAATTACTAGGTATTAAGTTGTACACAATCTTACCCCTGTGCAAGCAGAGAAGCTAAACTTTTGTGACTTGAACCCTAGTCACCAAGGTTGAAAATGAGCAACCTCATTGTAATGCCAAGGGTCACCTTCACATAGATGTTTCTACTATGTCGGAATATTCTGTTAGTAAAAAATGTGGTTGGCAATGGTTTTAGTCTCAGTTTAATGTCTTGCTATCCTGCTGTTTAATCTTGTGAAATATTCTTACTTCCCACCATAAATCAAACTAAATTTGTTGATTTGTTGCATGCTTTCATAATTATTGCTGAACACTGAACAAGAATTTACATTTCTTTATTCTGTAATTAGATTAAATTACATAGATAATTTCATTTGGTTGTCATACATTGCTACTCTCCCTCAGATGCATGTTTTGTGGCATTTTACAGGTAAGCGATGACAAGGAAGACAGTTTACTGTCTTCATCAAATGGATGGTCCAATGATGATACTTCATTCTCATCAATTGTAAACTATATGGCCACAAGGCACATACTACTGCTTCATGCTGGAGGTGATTCTAAGAGGGTCCCATGGGCAAACCCAATGGGAAAAGTGTTCCTACCACTACCATATTTGGCTGCAGACAATCCTGATGGCCCTGTTCCATTGCTTTTTGATCATATACTTGCAATTTCCTCTAGTGCAAGGCAAGCTTTTAAGAATAAAGGTCATTATTCTTTTTTATCCAAAATAAAACAATAAATGTCACTATTCTGGTTACCCTTTTGCATTAAACTGAAAATGGACTATGATAGCGGTCAACAAAATTCAGGTGCTACTGATACTTTTCAGTTGTATCTTATCAGAATTTGCCATAAATGTGATTTATTTGTAACTTTGAGATGTCTAGATGGATCAGTGCTCTTAATCCTCTTATAAATTGTGTGCTTGTTGTATGAGAGTTGCATTTTGGATTGACACCTTAAGAGTGTTCATGTTAATATATTTAGGATTTACATATATCTTTTATATCATAGCATCAAAGCATGATGACAGACACATATACTTATCTGTGAAGAACTACTCATTTGGACCCATTACAATCTTGAGAACCATAGAAGGATGCTAAACTGCTTGTCATTACAAAATGGATACCAGGTGCCACTTTTTAGGTGCAGATCAATTGATAAACATTTTGTTGTTCTTTGGGATGCAGGATGACATAGGAAGAAGACGTTAAATCTGTTTCAACATAGAGTGTTACTTTACCCAGTACCCTTTATTTATCTGAATGCACATCTATGCCAAGAAATAGCATAGTTCCCATGAACAACCAAAAGACTGAATTGCTAGCAATGCATTTAGAGATTAGTTTTCATACTATTTGTGAATATTCTTCTATTTTGGTGATTGACTACTTTTCTATCAAGTCCTACTTTTTTCTGATTTTGCTAATTTTGGAATTTCAACATTCTAGTATTTGCTTCTTTATACTCATAGTTCTAGTATCTCATACCTCGTGGCAAGTGAGAAGCCAAGTCATCTGCTCTTGGCAACTTTGCTACAATGTGAGTGGTAGGCTTCTTTTGGGACAGTTCATTGAGAGTTGTAATGGCCTTACATGAACAAGATGTTATAATTTGTGCTATCTTAAAGTTGCTTAGTGGGACTCGAGAACATTTCTTAGCCTCTAATTTAATTTGAAGCATACAATTTTCTCGACAGGTGGGATTCTTATAATGACCGGAGATGTTCTCCCTTGTTTTGATGCCTCAACCATGATTCTGCCTGATGATTCAGGCTGCATCATTACAGTCCCAATAACCCTGGATATTGCTGCTAATCATGGTGTTGTTGTGGCTTCAAGTGATGGCATTACGAATGATGATTACTCCATCTGCTTGGTTGAAAATCTTTTGCAGAAGCCAACCTTGACAGAGCTCACTGAGGGCCATGCCATACTACATGATGGTAGGACACTACTAGATACTGGAATAATAGCAGCGAGAGGGAAGGCATGGGCTGAACTTGTTAAGCTTGCCTGCTCTTCAAGCCAAGCCATGATATCCGAGCTTGTGGATTCCAGAAAAGAGGCAAGCAACAAAAGTTCAATTGGGTTTCTATCTTTTGTTTAGTAACTAACAAGTTGATATTTCATTACTGCAATTTTTAGTATGATTTACCTCTTTATTAAAGTGAATGTATGTGATAAATAAGATTAGTGTTTTGGTTATTAACAAGTTAATCTGGTAAATTTCTTTACTGTTATGCATTTAATAAATTTTTTCTTCCAAACTAATTGTTCTATATGCTTATAGCACTAAAGTGAGCATGACATAGAAAGCACAAGTGGAGCCTTATAAGCAATTTTTTGTATGACTGTCTATAGCTAAAAAAGGATGGAAGAAGACCAGGTTATTTGCAATTCCAATTTCCAAGTTTGATGTGCATATGGACTTACCAAAAGAAAAAGCTTCATAAATTGTCACAATTTGTACGGCTGCGGAATTTATTTAATGATACTATCCTATCCAGCTTAAGTGTCTCTCTGGTATTTGATGCATGCCAGTTCATATCATGGAATTTAGTTTTAGTCCTGGGAAGTATATGTCCTGAGTCTTGATTATAGTTAGATATTAGTGACACTAGATTCTTTTTTCCAGCTTGTTTTATTTGTCAATATTTTTGTTCCATTTAAAGAGGGCCAGAACTATGTAGCCAGACTTTTTTTTAGTCAATATTAATCTCTATTGTAATTGGCCTCATTTAGTTAAGCTTGAAATTGGCTAGGACTGTTAATTAGAAAATTGTAGTGAGCTGGGTCTCTACCTTGGAGCAAACTGAGTCCTTAAAGGGCTTAAATTTGTGGACTTACTTTACATGGAAGAGGTTGTCTTTTGTCTTTGGGAGGGAAATAAGTGAGGGACTGACAACTGTCTCATTCCGTTCAAAGAGTCCTAATCAGAATTTTCTCATAGAAAATAATTGTAGTTGAAACTAATCAGGAAAGACATGCTGAATGGTCAGTCATTTTTCTCCTTTCTCTCATAGGGTCCAAGGTTGTTTAGAAAGAATGCACCTTTGGTGTACTGACAAGCTCAGAAATTTGTGTACAAGAGAAATCTATGATATGAGATGGTTTTTTGGGTAGCTAGGCACTTTATGTATCTCACTCCTTGTTTTTTTTCTTCCTATTTCTTTCTTTAATATTGTTTGTACTTTCTTTAACCTCTTTTCCTTCATGCTTTATCTGTTACTTGGTCTTGGTTGCTATCTCCCTTCTTTTAATGATATGCTGTATATTCCAGCCTCATTAATGTATAACCACTATCGTGATGCTGCACTACATGTGTAGGACCTGACATTATTAACTAGGGTAGTCAGTTACCCACCATATTATCCTGTCTTTGCCGCAATGATTTTTTTTTCCTCAAAGATGAATTTAAAGCATCATATCGTGATTAGTTTTGTGGCTTCTACACAGTTCTGTAAGCTTTCCAAATTCCAATGTGCTAATTCATTTCATAACTAGTGCAGATGAGTTTATATGAAGATCTGGTATCAGCATGGGTACCAGCAAAACATGAATGGTTGCGGTCACGTCCTTTAGGTGAAGAACTTATCAATGCGTTGGGAAATCAGAAGATGTTCAGCTTTTGTGCTTGTATGTCTTTCTAGTCATTTTGTCAGATTCATATAGTTAGTTTCAGATACCTTTCTGTTGAGTTTAACAATATTTCTTTCTCTTTTTTTTCTGTGATTGTTCATATTACTAATGATATATTGAAATCAGTATATGTTTCTTAACTGTTCCTTTTATAATTTGAAAAGTATGTCTTAACTGCACTATTTTACATACATTAGCCCACAATAACTGCAGTACTGTCTTTCCAAATGATCAATTTGTTGCATTTGATAACATTGCTTCTAAACCAATTCTATTATTTTTCACTGCTTCACATAACTCAGACAGTAAGTATCCCTCTAAAAGATGAATCTGTAGCATTTGACATTGTCGGAGAATGTGGAGCAGACTTGTGTAATTTGGACAAGTAGAAATAGTCACTGGAAATTATGAAAATGATGGACCTTGATTCAAAATTGGAGCCCAAAGATCATCCTTTTCTTTAAATATCATGGACTTATAGGTTACTTCAGTTCTTTCCCATTTTAATATCCTAAAATACTCGCTCTATTCACGTGTTATAGTAGCTGCATGGAAAAAAATCGTTCATGGTTTTTCAGCTCTCTGGTTAAATCATCTCTTCCATCGTATCTTTCATATCTAAATATATAAAATCATTGAGATGCCTAAATTGCTATACTTCTGAAAGTAATGTTATCTAGGTGTACTTATATATCTAGCATGTGTAGCTCCTGCCTTCATTTCATGTAACATTCATTCCTTGTATCATGCACATCTTTCTGATTTTGTCGCCTGTTTTTGCTCTTAACTTTTGTTTTTTGTTTTTTGTTTCTAAACTGGAATCAACTGCAGCATGTATTTCTGTCAGATGTCTTATTTATGCATTTGTAGTATTATGGTCCTATTTGCAGTTGGATTGTCCTTCTTGCACTTTGGTACATCAATTGAGGTTCTCGATCACTTAGGTGGTTCAAATTCAGCACTAGTAGGCCGAAGGCACTTGTGTTCTATGCCAGAAACTACTTCTTGTGACATTGCTGCATCTGCTGTTATTCTTTCCAGCAAAATTGCACCTGGTGTCTCAGTTGGAGAGGATTGTTTGGTTTATAACTCATCACTTTCTGGTCGAATACAGATCGGTTCACAATCCATTGTAGTTGGAGTGAGTATAGCGAGCTTAAACAAATATGAACAAATTGACAATTCATCTCGATTCGTTTTGCCTGATCGTCACTGTCTGTGGGAAGTTCCCTTGGCAGAATCTTTAGGAAGAATCATTGTCTATTGTGGGCTTCATGATAACCCAAAAATTTCTGTTGAAAACGGTGGAACTTTTTGTGGAAAACCATGGAAAAAGATCTTGCATTACCTACAAATTCAAGAAAGTGACTTGTGGAGTTCCTTGGCTGGCCAAGAGAAATGCTTGTGGACTGCAAAACTATTTCCCGTAGTTTCTTCATCTGAAATGCTTAAGTTAAGCATGTGGCTTACTGGCTCAACTATTTACAACTGTCAAGAAATGCTTTTTCTATGGAGAAATTCACATCGCATCAGTTTGGAAGACTTGCATCGGTCTATAGATTTTCCACAGCTTTGCATGGAGTCCAATAAGCATCAAGCAGATCTTGCAGCTGGAATTGCTAAAGCTTGCCTTACCTGTGGTTTGCTTGGGCGCAACTTGTCTCAGTTATGTGAAGAAATTTTACAAAAAGGTACCATGGGAGTGGAGATATGTAAGGATTTTCTTACACTCTGTCCTATTCTTCAAAATCAGAACCATGGTGTTCTTCCTCAAAGCAGAGCATACCAGGTGCAAGTTGATCTTCTTAGGGCTTGTGAAGATGAATCAAATGCTCGTATATTGGAGCAAAAAGTTTGGACTGCAGTTGCTAGTGAAACTGCATCAGCAGTAAAATATGGAATTGAAGGTGCAAATGTCAATTGTTTTATTCTATAATTCCTACTTAACATGTGTTTCTACTGAAGTTCTTATTACCTAGACTGGCATTTTAATAAAGTATGATCTTAATAGTAAGCATGATCGTGTCCTTTGTCCTTCCTATATCTGTTACTTATATTGAAAATTTCCAACTTGGCCTGTGACTCGAAAGACATTTTATGATGAGTTGCTTTTTCTGTCTTCATTTGGTTTTAGACATTTTTATTTATAATATTTGCATATGATTTCTTTGAATAAGAATGAGTTTGTATTTTTGATTTTGCATATGATGTCATAGTTAGGATATTTTTACATACACTTGGTGATTGCAATCATATGTAATGTTTTTGTATTTTCACTTATAATAAAAGTATCTTCCCATATGCCTTTTATGTTATGCTTTTGCCTTTTAATTCTTTCCATATACACCCTCATAATCCTGGCGCTAGCATGTGTTTGAGTTATTGTCTGAGACTGAATTGCTAATTGTTTTGTCTATAAGACGGTGATACCTATGTTTATTTTATATTCCTCTTATTGTTGAGGTTATGTCAACTTACCCCAATATATGCTCTTAGGTGATTCTTTTGACTCCAAATGTGGAACTAATACTACATCAAAACTAACAAAGGATCTTGAAGATATTAGTTTCTGCCCCAAAAGAGCAAGTGTACAATTGCCAGTTCGTGTTGACTTTGTGGGTGGATGGAGTGATACACCACCTTGGAGCTTGGAACGCCAAGGTTGTGTTCTGAATATGGCAATAAATCTGGAGGGATCCCTTCCGATTGGAGCTGTTATGGAAACAACAAAAAGTTCTGGGGTCTTGATTGTTGATGATGCTGAAAATCATGTCTATATTGAAGATCCTGCCTCCATTTCTACACCTTTTGATAAAGATGATCCATTTCGACTTGTAAAATCTGCACTCCTCGTGACTGGAATTTTTCGTCACAAAGTATTGGTCAATTCAGGCCTACAGATTGAGACATGGGCAAAAGTTCCCCGTGGAAGCGGCCTGGGAACTTCTAGCATACTGGCTGCAGCTGTTGTTAAGGGGTTGCTTCGTCTCATGGAAGAAGATGAAAGTAATGAAAGTGTTGCTAGAACTGTTTTGGTGCTGGAACAAGTTATGGGTACAGGCGGTGGGTGGCAGGATCAAATTGGAGGCTTGTATCCTGGGATTAAGTGCACCTACAGCTTTCCAGGACAGCCATTACTGTTGCAAGTTATTCCTCTAGTAGCCTCGCCTCAGTTGGTGTCGGAGTTAGAACAGCGTCTGCTGGTGGTGTTTACTGGTCAAGTATGTCCGGTGTGATTTCTATTTTATCATCTCTCTTGATTTCTTATGTCTTTATTGATATCTAACAAATGCGCAGGTGCGACTCGCTAATCAAGTCCTACAGAAGGTAGTAACAAGATATCTGCGCCGAGATAACCTCCTAATAGAAAGTATCAAGCGCCTTGCTGCATTGGCAAAGCACGGGAGGGAAGCTCTGATGAATGGTGATATCGATGAGCTGGGCTACATAATGCTGGAGGCATGGCGGCTACACCAGGAATTGGATCCTTTCTGCAGTAACGAATTTGTGGATAAGCTTTTTGCTTTTGCTGAGGCCTACTGCTGCGGCTATAAGTTGGTCGGCGCCGGAGGTGGTGGCTTCGCCTTGCTTCTCGCCAAGGATGCGTCACGTGCCCAGCAGCTTAAGCAAGCACTCGGGGAGTCTTCCGAGCTAGATGTTAAGGTGTACAATTGGAACATTTGTTTGTCCTAATCCGACTATTCAACTTTGTGCTTATTTATCCAACCTCCACAGATGAATGTATGCATTGAAAACGTAACTTTATTGATCCTACTCAGCATATTTGCGAAATGAGGGAAGTGATGTCATGAATAGATCTGACAAGAGGAATGGAATAAGATCAGATTGGCATTTCATTTTGATTCTTTTTTGTGGGGTATCAGATCAGTCTGTGCTTGTAAGACTGCAGTGGAGGTTGTCCCGGCAAACTTGTGTAATGTTGTCCAATCCACCATGGCCGGTTGGCTAAATGTATGATCGACCAACTTAAGATAGGTCAAGAATAGTTACACTAAAAATTAATTAGATCTACAGCATCAAATTCCATGTTACACAGGTTAACTAAAAGCCACAATGTCAAAGGCTATACATGGTACAAAGGAATTTATATCGACGACGATCGTAAACATCCTTCTAGTGAGCAGCTGAATACATGAACCAAGTTCACTTCCTTGGCTTACCTACTACTATCCATCCTCTTCGAGGAAATAACAGCTACATGAACTTAGGAATCTCACCAGTCTAAATGCATTGACAGATTTCTTCACATATATGCTGCAAGACATACTCGAGCTTCCTCATCGAGGTCGACCATATTTAAATGTAAAGATAGATACTGTGCAATCCTGTCGATAAGTTTTTGATCTTGGCATTTGGAGCTCAAGTCCATGTGTTAAGCCACTGCAATCTGTCAGATTTCGCTACTCGGAACAGAGATTGGACATTGCCGACAATTTTTAAGCATTGGAGCTACGTTCTCAATAACCTCGGTTGTCTGCTCACTATATTGAATACTGCTAGTGTGTTGCAGAAGTTGAACAAGTGACAAAAATATGTCCAGTCTGGTCACATCCCCGTTTGCCTGCAGTCGAACGATAAAATTTAAGAAAAAGAAAACATTGATTTCGCAAGAAACATTAGTAAGTTATTTGTGTACTTCCTACCTCGACCAAGAATCGTGCCCAAACTTTACGCTCGTGAATTTCCATCACACCCTTCAAGATCGTCAAACCCAATCCACGTATAATGTCTGCTATCTCAAGAAAGATTCCACGTTCTTCACAAAGCATCTGATACACAAACATATTTCAGATTCCTCAATAATGAAAACAGAAATAAACTGACTGTGGGTGGCAATTTACCTCAACTAGCATCTGGCCAGGGGGTGTGAGGTCCTCGACCATTATAGGACAGAACATGGTCTGCCCTGCAACTTCATATGCCCAGGTTGCACCATCACAACTGCCACTGCTAGTGTTGTCCTTTAAAACAACACCACTCTCCTCGACAATCATCTGTAGGTGCAAATAAAAAGAAAGACTATTGGATGACAAAGCACCATTTGTTTATGATGACTTGGATAAGCAATTCTGCAACTAAAAAAACTTAGCCATAAAAAAAAAGAAAACCTTTGTACCTTTGGCGCTTCAGCTTGTTTGAGTTTATCGGCATACTTTGTCACGCTTTGAAGAAAGAGCATGTGTTTAATCGTGCGATCCAGTAAAGCATCGATGCTACACTGTTAGCGTTGATGAAAAATAAGAATCACCAAACAGATCACAGCAATTATATCCTGAGAAGAATTCCAGAACAAAACTTGAGAGGCATACCTTAGCACCATTAGGCACAATCTCCCTTAATTCTTTAACACGATCTTGTATCTGCTGACGATCTTTTGGTCTCGGTCGGGCACTTTCACCAGGCCTTGCCCTTTTCTTAACTACTTTAGCAGCTTCCTCAGGCTTCTTGGGTTGATTGGGAAAAGAACTCTCATTATTCATACTGCAACAATCATCGATCAACAAACTGAAGTTGGACTTTGGCAGTGCTTCTTTCACAGATCCATGAATTATGTCCGATATACAATGAGGCAATAACACATTGGGAGTTTGACTTATGGATGGAAGGCACACAGAAGGAACCTGACTGTTGTATACTGAAGGACTACCAACATTTGTCACCATGGAAAATTGATTCTCCGTATCAGGATTAGCAATAGGATTGACACTTTTTGCAAGACAACCATGTCTGGGACCTTCACTGATAGTTTGACCATTTATGGTATTCAACAATTGGTCAAGAGCAGCCTCCGACTGCAGGCCATTTCTAGGACCTGCAGTCGAGCCCATCTGCATTTCTGAGAGGCAATCTGAAACACTGACACTAAAATTTGAGTAATTGTAATTGCCACCACCTGTTGTCATTACGATGTCATCCCAACATTGATGTGGGAAGTTGTTTGTACTCAGATCTAAGTCCATTGCATCAAAAAGGTCATAATCCATAAGTAATTTACCAGGTTCAATTAAAGAATTCTCCTGATTATGACTTCCTATAACTGCACCCGATGAGCTCTCAACTCGTATCCTAGAAATTTTACTCGTCGTATTGCAGATAATGGAATCACTTCCACCCAAATCAGGTGATGCAGAACTGGCAGCTAGCTGTTTTTCATTCATCTGCACAGTGAAATCATATCCAACATGCTCCGGTCTTTGATCAGTTTGATGAACCAAATAGTCGTCTTTAGCATGAAGCAAGGAAGAATCATCAGGTGTGGAGTCTCGAAAATTAGCAACAGAAGCACCCAAAAGTTCTGGAGCAAATGATGGAACATTGCACATGATTTTGGCACCACGTAGATTGTGTGGCAGCAAAGGCAGCTTCTCAGACTCAGAAAGGCAAGCATTGCTGACCACTGAAAACCTTCCTTCAGTCAAGGAATCTTGCAATCCGTAGTGTTCAGATGATGAAGAGGAGTCCGCACATAGTTGATGGAATGCAGTCTTGCAAGGAACAGAAAAAAATGAATTAGTATGAGGTGAGCTGGAACATCCCGATACACCTGTCCCAGAAAGCAGTCCTTGCTCCATGATTGGCAGATTAGGAATCTTAGCACAAGAATTTGGGTTAACACACGTAGCAACTGTATTTTCATGAGAGTCCAAACTGGACAGAGACTTTGTGCTTGGTGAAAGCAGGCCATGAGCTTCATCACTCACAGCATCATCTTGTATTGTTGGATTGGATATCGAAGTCCTGCTGCAGGAAGGTGATTTCTGCAATTGGTCATATAAATATATAGATGCACCAGCAAAACTTGAAGTTATTGGCTTCGAAAATGCATAAGGATTCATGCTGTAGTGAGGTCTGAAATGATGAGAGAATCTTCTTGGGAAAATAGCAGGGGACTGAGAAGGTCCTTCTAAAGATTCCATGTCAGTCATCTGCTTTCTATATTTTCCATAAAAGGATTGGGTGTTCTCAAAACCACAATAAGCATCTCCAGCAGATACTGCAGAGGCAAATGCTTCATGCTGATCACGAATTTTAGTTTCCTTAAGAGGATCAACATGCGAAAAGGGCTCTGGCATGCTTCCTATCAGCTGAAATAAATCTTTAGCTTTATCAATGAACTCTGAACTTTCTGGAATCTGTTAGGTAACAGATCAAAATCTATATCAGACTCAAGGAACACTAGAAATGTTTTATCATATAGATTGACTCTAATTTAATTGGTTGCATATGCAAGGAAAAAAACACATTTTGTACAAGACAAAACGAGCAACTTATCAACTATTTTGAGAATGATATCATAAGATGAACCATTTATCAACTAATAGCAACAAAAAATTTGCAGAAGGAAAAATTCTAGACTGAATTCAAATAAACTATACATATCTTAATGGTTCGTACTAAAAATTCCATTATCAAATTATCAAATTAATATAGTATGCATATACACATACATATATATATACAAGATTCGCAAAATTAGTTGATCTAAAAGTTTAGTTAGTACTCATAGAATATAGATAGATAGCAAAATCAAACATAGTATTTGGTGGATGCTTGATTTTGGTGTTCTTGAGTTGAAGACTCAGGTATCTTGGCTAACTAATATATCAGAGCTCTAGCATCATAATCAGACATTGATCTTATTGTTCAAATTTTCCAGTGTTAATTCTGGACTCATGCAAAGTCAAAATCACTTCAGGGCAATTATATTCATAGAAGAACAGTGTAGCAACACATGTAGCATTGGATATAGATTAATAAGACTCAAACACATTTGTTCTTCTCTATGACTTGAACCATGTCTCCTTGCATCTATAAAAGAAAATTATACAGATGCATTTGTTAATATAAATTCTATTGATATATATCCTAATTTCCTTCAGCTCAAAGTTCAACCCTTATTTTTGTCATACTTATTTCTGAAAAAAACTGACCTTCCTTTACTTCATTGACATTCTATAGGCTCTATGCCATACTTACTTTCATGAAGCTTACTTTGTTCAATGGCATAGTTCCTAAATAGGAACTCCAAATACTAACCTTCTTGGTGGAACCAAACTGCACTACACCAGAAAATTGTAGAGATGTAATCACAATTGTCTGCAGAATCGAACACAATCATCAGTATAATGGCTTGTGCAGCAGCAAACAGATGATCTCATGAATATACCAAAAAGAAAACGAAAATGTAGTTGTGTTGGCCATTGTTAACGAGCAAGCATAGAATATGTAAATTACCACATACCTTGATTCCAGCCAAAAATTGATGCATCAAATCAACAATAACCTGACATTTGAGAAAGTAATCAAGAAAAATATTCAACACCATATACCAATAGGAAGCAAACAATCACCAGTTATAAAGGGAAAAAAATTATAAGAACAATATGTACTGCATTATTAAGCAAGAGTGGGGACCAATTCATGGATTCTGTCATTCTGTGGACAATATGTACTGCATTGAGGCTATGAATTATGTAAGAGGCATGCATGATTTCAAGATCTTGTGTACCTTCTTATTTGAAGTTTGGACATTTACATGTGTTACAGAAACAAAAGATTCTCCAATGAAACCACCATTCTCTTCTCAAAAATACAACAATTATAACTAAGACAGGACAAAAAAATTTGTTTCTAGGAAGAAAGAAATAAACATGTACCAGGGGAGCTTCTGGATTGTTGACAGAGACGATTGGGTCGGAATTTGTGTCATACTCATCATGGTAGATCCATTCATCTCTCCCACTTATAATACTTCCTCCGATACTCCTAACAAAACAGATGCAGATGATGATATTGATTAAAAACAAAGCAACATCTGCAACTGTTAAGTACAGTTCTTCGTTCTTCAAAGTAAAATCAGTGGGTAATATTCACCCACTCTGGATGATTTAGAGAATTATTCTAACTATTGTACGCAAACAAACTCACTTCCAACAAATAATGAAGTGTAAAGAAGCATGCTTAGACAGAGGCATTCAGGTGAGTATTAAAGACCTTATTAGCAAAAAGCTTAAAAGCGGGGGAAATTATGTTGTTTCAAAAGTCTTAATAGGAATTGAAGTCATGTGGGTGACGAGGAACAGTTCATGCAGTTGTGCTAAAACTACACACTACACAAACATTATCATAAAAACTGGGGAAAATGTAATCCAGTTAACAGATCAGCATATCGGTTCATCATTCATACCCTTCTCCAACTACATGGACCCGATTAAGCATGTCCTCGACGACTATGCTGACCTGCTCCTCCCAGTAGTTATCTTCCACTACCAGTAATCTGCTAATGAGTTTGGCATCAGTGACAGAAGTAGCAAGATGTTACACTGCACACTAAACATCCCATAAAAATCCAAAGGTAGTCCAATTGCCGGAACCCATGTCATGGAGTAGCAGAAATCAATAGCGAAGAAGTGACACAATATTATTTCCGTTGGCAACCCAAAAAGGACATGCTTATGCATAGAAGGGAAAGTACAAACAAAGCTATGATCTTTCGAGTGCTGTAAAAAGAGAAAAGAGAAAAGAAAAGGCATTTGGGGATAAAGAATGTCCTCTTATCACATTCAATCACTAAATCAACACTCATATATGCCAAGAAAACTTACGATCGACAAGAGAACACAAAAGTTGGATACACTCAAAGCAACAAAACAGCAACTTTTAGCTCTTAATAGATTTGCAACATAGTGATGCCATGCGCCACAGAGCAACTCGCAGCCAAAACAAGTCATTTCAAGAGACTCCAAACAGCAACAAAAGAAGCACAAAATTATCCCGAATTCAACACTCCACCGAACGAGGCCAAAGCGACGTAGAAAGTTACCGTGGGTCGCGGTGGTCGACGCGCCAGACCACACCGTAGGACCACCCGTGGCGGCGGCAGAGCCCAGCGAGCGCCGCCCTCAGCTGGGGCGCCATCACCGGCCGATCACGCCCGCCGAAGCCCTTAGGCTCCCGCCTTCACCTCCTTCGCGTAGCGGGTCGGGTCAAGACACCGGCAACCCGTCGCGACAAAACCCGATCGTTGGTAGTTACGTAACAACTGGCGATAACGGCCGAGGGTTAAGATCGGCGATGATTTGGCGAGGCATGGGGACGACGCTCTTCACCGGAGAAAGAAAAGAGTTCCTTGAATTAGGCGGGGCGCATTATTTTGGGGTGGGAGGAATAAATGAGAACGAATGGGAGGAGTAATGGAGGTGAGAAGACATGCGGAAAGGAGGCGACTGAGATCTTCTCTTTTAACAAGGAGAGGAGAGGAGAGGAGAGGACTGAGCCGGTAAATAGACATGATCACCTGCAGCTGCCGGTTCCATGACCTGCTATAGCCGGTTTCCATGTATATCACTGTCACTAAATTTGATATTACCGTATCAGATTTATACTGCTTTCATTTTTTTCCTCTCATTATGTCAAAAATAATCATTTAAATGTCAAACAAATATGGAGAAAAAGCTTTTACAAATATACAATAATATTCACTTCAAAGGAAAACAGAGACATTCTACGTCTTATCAACAACATATGATACGACAAAGCCCAATTCCCAAAAGCTTTATACTCTGAGAGCTTGACCGTGTTTGAATGTGCGGACTGCAGTCTCTCTCTCTCTCTCTCTCTCTGTCCTGCATCCTTTTCTTTTGCTTCTTGAACTCCACAAAGACCTCTCAGTAGTTTCTGTTCATCTTAAACTTCGCTTTGACACCAAAGAACACCGAACCAGTCGCTTCCCACTGGACAAGCCTAAGAAAGCTTATGGTTGCTCATCGCTGTTGATGCTTGGGAGTTTGCAAGCAGGCTTTTTACCTTGCTACACTTTACCCAGTGACGTGAGAAAGGACATGATCTGAAAACTTCCGTAGCATGTTCCAGGATTCTTTTGGAATTCAATTTCTCTACAGTGGTCGGACAGGTCAATCTTTTTACTGCATGAGGCAGGCAATGTAGGCCGACCAAGTTGCATGCAACTCTTCCCAGTAACCAATTCCGAAGCCTCGATATGAAACACAAGGGTGCATGAGGCTGGTAATTAACCATATCTATCTACGTATTACAATCTAGTTTGTGAGCTTTGAGTAGCTAACCTACTCTCTCTCTCTCTCTCTCTCTCTCTGTGAATTGGACAGAGACTGAGGTGTCTGAGGTCCACAAACAGATAGCGGAGGGATCATCCATCATAGCACATAATGTGTGACAATGGCAATGGCCTGAGCACTATCGTTAAGACCGGAGAAGATATCTCCGCCTCGCCAGTAATTGGAGCCCCACATTGTGCAGGAATCTTGACTAAAACGCTCATTCATACCTTGACAGCGCCACTTCCCTCCTCTTCCTTTGTTTTCCCTTGTCTTGAGGAAACAGAAGAGAAAGGGATCGAGGAAATATCCAACAACACAGAACGTTGCGTACCAAAGGGATACATGTATAGATACCAAGATATGTCGTCATAGGCTTATCTGGCAATTGATAGTCCTCAACTTACACCTACAGCCCCACAAGAGGAACTTATTGGCTTTTGACTTCATCAGAGACTCTCAGGGGGGACAGCCGCAAGTGATTACTGTGTTCTTGGTGATCCAATCATCTCGGTTCACATATGATTGAGAGCCTATATACTAAGGGAATTTTCTAGGTTTTCTTTCTCGGTTTGGATGCCAGCTTTGGCAATTATTTCATGGATATTTGCACCTGCGAGATCAACCCTAACCTGCCCACCACCACCATCATCATCATCATCTTAGGGGTCGATAAAGCTGGATATGTAGCAAGAGAGAGAGAGAGAGAGAGAGAGCACTCCATTGCTGTACCAACACCAGCTGCTGCAAACATAAAGCTGTTCCCATTATTCTTGGCATCAAGCCCTATAATTTTGTCTGCTCAAGCTCTGCAAATGTTCCCCCTCATCATGGTCGTTCACAGCAAGGTCAATGACTTCGAAAGTGCTGCTCTTTTTCGTTTTGGTTTCATTATATTTGCAGATAGGTTTTGCTAGGGATGAATGGTCCTATCGTAGAAGACAATGATGCGAGTCCATTAGAATCAACTACGGCCATCGATGGACGTGATGCATCGTTAGAGATCTCTAACTAGCATAGTACATTAGGGTTTAGCAGAATGACACTGTTCTTTGTGTCACAATAGAAGGCATTTAAAGCTCCTTTTCGCGAAGCAATCATGTTCACCATGCCATAATTAAGATCTCATACTTGCATATGGTAATCAAAACCATGTAAGAGATTTAATGTGTATTACGATCATCACATTCTCAGTAGATTCCGGTGACCCCACCACATATATTTTCTGTGCTATGAATTATAGTCTACTTTCTCGTATGATGATGATTGAATTCTTAGTAGCAAGCGTTTAATTGTTATTCTAATAGGTAATGGCATTCCTACTTTGCACCCGTGCAGGAATTCATGTTGTATGGTCAAGATAGGAGTGGATTAGCCAAGATTAGGAGGTTGAAAGCTTTCTCTTCCTAATATGGAACAAGGATCCACTAAACCATTGTGAGTGGGAGGAAAACTTTGATTTAAGACAAGAAACAATTTGAAGTCGATTTAAATGGTGGATAAGATGTGGCATTGCCTCTCCTGTGGAATGTGAAGGAAGATTTGGCTCCTTCCATAAAGATGACAAGCGTGGTTGCCTCAAAAAGCGTGTTGGAGGTCGCATTAATTGCACAAGCTTGCACTCCTTCTGAGAAGTCAAACACGGTTGTTTGATTCTGCTTGGAGGAACGCAGGTGGATGGTCACGTCGTGTAGCCATTTCCTCAAGCGGCAGCCAGTGATCACTGTGAACAACAGTTCATGCCTTTGTAGCGATCTCCATGCACGTATGCTGGAGTTCTTAATTGGGAGGAGGAAGCTGATATCCAGAACGTGAGAAGTGTGCGGTTGAGAGTGCCGTGGAGATCACGAACTCCCCCTCTCTGAGGAAGAGTTCCGATCCAAGATAAGAGAGGATGCCGAGATGCAAGTATGGAAGCATAGACTGGGAGGGCGTGGGCCGCGTCCACGCCCACGCCCACGCGCCCGCCGGTGCATATGGACAGTAGGTGGTAGATGACGACGATGGTGATGGGTTTGGGGTGGTGCTGCGTCCGTGGACCACCCTGAACGAGTAATACAGACACATGCATCGGCAACACCGCCACGGGATCGGCTCTTTAGACCGGTCGGCATCGATTGGGGGATTTGAGGACCACCAACTCGCGATGTGGATGTTTGGATGCGACTGCAGATGGCAAAAGGAATGTGGTGACGATGACAAATCCTCAGGTCATTCATCATTTCTGGATGACGGATTAGATCCACCAAGCTGAGAAAATGTCGACTTGATTCACGTTTACACACCAAGTTCCTCATTCGATGATGAACGGGTATATGAGAGTTTGGTACGACGCGTGAGCCGCACGTCGGAGGGATTGGCCGTGCGAGACCGTTCAGAGCAGACCAAAATTAGACACGATTAAGAAGGGGGATTAGAATACGTCATCTCAGAAGGGACGCCGGAAAAAAGCACCGCCGCCTAGACGCAAGCGCCGTGGGCCCACCACGAGCCTTGTCGGCGAGGGTGACGTGATCCCTCCCCGTCGGCCTGCTTCAATCTCGAGTCCGCGAGCCGCGCCGCTGGCGCAGCAGCGCTTTGGCCGCCGGGGTTGTGGGGGGAGGAAGGCAAAGGACACTCGCTATAATTACGTGTTGCGTGGATGATGATGATGATGATGGTGATGATGAGGCCATGGTAGCGTAAGCAGTAAGCAGGTCGAGTAGTTAACGCGGTGATGAGACACGATGAGACTCCCTTCATCTTCCTTTAATCTTCGCTTGCAGCTTTTTTAGCTTTGCACTGTTCCATCTTTTTGTTCTCTTTCTATCGCACTCACTTCATTGTTTGATATTTCTAATTTAAAATACTCAAATCAAGATAATAATAATAATAAATCTATTAGACTCTTATAAGATTATTAACTTCAAAAATATTTTTATAGAATCCTTCCCGATAAATCTTTTACTATATAGAATCCTTCACGAGAAAATTTTATTATTTTGTTAAGAAAAATCTTCGCTCCTATTATGTATAAATAAGAAGAACATATTAATAGACTTCAATGAAAAATATATCTTCTATCAAGAGAAAGAGCTGACAAACTCAGTAATCATTGCAAGTATACGAAACTAAGAGATTATTAGAATAGTTAGTTTAAATTAGATTCAAAGTTCTTAGATTCATCCAACACAACTTCTCTTGATGTACAAACTGCTGCTGCTGTTCTACCAAAAGGCATGGTAGTTCTATCCCATGCATACTGTACAAGGCTATGAACGGGGTGGAGAAAGAACAGACAGAGGAAGAAGTGGTGAATGATGAAGCTGGAGACAAGATTAGGATTTGCCATGAAAGTGAATGATGAGGAACTACAAAGCAGTCCATGAAATGCTATATCAAATGCTTTCCTCCTCATTATTTTGGTGGACGTCAGTATATACAAGTATTGTCATCGTTTAGAACTATATATAGATAGATAGATAGATAATCTCCATCCTGTTGATGGATTATCATATATAATCTAATGCCTGGCTATGGAATCAATGCAAAGACTATAGTTGGATGAGGCAAACAATTAATCCTCCAAAACCATATAACACAACTTGTTCCTTGGTTTGCATAAAAGTTTACTTGACCTATTCAATAATCGAATAAGGTCCATGCTCAATCAACTAGTCTGGTGATGTGTATCTGAATTATTTTATATAGGCCAAGGGTTTGAATCCTCACACTCAATCCATCAATTATTTGATGAATTTAAATTCAAAAATATATCATTTCTTTACATTCATGAACAAGTTGAGAAATGTTCATGGGCTTCTTTTAGGGGAAAATATATCAAAGGCCCGGCCCATCATCAGAAAACAATGTTCTCTCAAATTATTATTATTATTTTTTTGGCTGCCAATAGTGTGTTGGTAGAACATATTATATTAAGTTGGATGGAAAGATCTCTCAGATTTTTCGATGCGTATAAAAGAAGATCATCATCAGGTTTCCTGATCTGACCTCTCTGAAGTTCATATTAGTATAGTTTCAAAATGAGGAATATAAAGATCCAATAGAGAGAGAAAGGAGAAAAAAAAAAACTTATTATTTGTAGTGCAAACTTCCTATTTATAAGTGATTTGTCATTATCTATAATATTGCTGTCTTCATGTTAAGTTCTTTA